CTCCAGAATCATAAGATAATAAATTTGTGCAGTTTTTAATTACCATTCAAATGTGGTAACTTGTTTTACCAACAAGAGGAAAATAATACGGACTAGAACACCAGGCATCGAAAAGGCAGGGAGGGAGAACCTTCCAAGAAGAGAGAACAACAAATGCAAAGGCCCTGAGTAGTCTGGACAGAGGAGGCCCTTGAGGTTGAGGCAGGGGGAAAGGTCAGAGGGGCTGCAGCTGGCAAGTCAGGTGAGGAGGGTAGACTACATCCTCAATTCCTGTGGGAAATTCTGGTACCTCCAGGGGCTGCAAACTCAGAGGTATTCCCAAAGAAGATGTAAGAATGGCTGATAAGCAGGTGAAAAGATGCTCAACAGCACTGGTCACAAGGGAAATGCAAATCAAAACCACAGGGAGATGCTACCTCACACCTGCTCAGCTGGCAGGATGACAAACAAGAGAGGGACCCTAACAGGTTGACCAGGACTCAGAGAAATCCCAACCCTCTTACCCTGTTGGTAAGAATGTGAATTGGTTCAGCCACTCTGAAAACAATCTGGCAGTTCCTCAAATGGTTCAAAAGAATTAACATATGACTCAGTAATTCCACTCCTGGGTACATACTGCATAGACAAACGGAAACAAAAACACATGTCCACACTCACTTATACAAACATCCAAAGACATTTTTCATAATTGCCAAAAAGTGGAAAGAACCCAAATTCCCATCAACTAGCAAATGGATAAATTAATGTAGTACTTTCATACAATGAAATATCACTCACTACTATTATTATCATATTAGGTACTGGGGATTGAACCCAGAAGCAATTAACCACTGAGCCCCAGCTGTTTCTTTTTTTATTTTGAGACAGGGTGTCACTTAGTTGCTGAGACTGGCCTCAAACCTGCCATCCTCCTGCCTTACCCTCCTGAGTCGCTGGGATTACAGGCATGCATCCCTGTACCCCCATATTGTTTAGTGTTTGTTTTGTGGGGTTCTTTGTTTATTTGTTTTGATACCAGGAATTGAACCCAGGGGCACTTAACATTGAGCCACATCCCCAGCCACTTTTTTCTTTTGAGCAGGGTCTCACTAAATTGCATAGGGCCTTGCTAAATTGCTGAGATTGGCTTTGAACTTGTGATCCTCCCCGCTCAGCCTTCCAAGTCTACTAGGATGATAGGTTTGTGCCTTGCCCAGAAACATTATTTTTGTTTTAAAAAGAAATTGAGGGTGTAGCTCAGTGGCAGAGTGCTTGCTTAGCATATCAAATCCCTGGGTTCTATCCCCAGCACTGCAATTAAAAAAAAAGAAAGAGAGGTTGGGGCTGGGGCTCAGTGGCAGAGACACTGGGTTCACTCAGCACTACATAAAATAAATTAATAAAATAAACATATTGTGTCCATCTACAACTAAATGAAAAGAAGTCAATCACAGAGGACAATGAATACTGCATAATTCCATTTACATGAAATATCCAGAATAGGCATATTGGAGAAAAATGAGGGTTTAGAGTGACATTTAAGGGGTACAGGGTTTCTTCTGCAGTAATAGAAATGTTCTGAGACTGTGGAGATAGCCACTGCTCTGTACCCTCTACTCTTTTTTTCTTTTTAGTTGTAGTTGGACACAATATCTTTATTTATTTTTATGTGGTGCTGAGGATCGAACCCAAGGCCTCGCACTTGCTAGGCGAGCACTCTACCACTGAGCCACAATCCCAGTCCCCCTCTACTCTTTAAATGGGTGAATTGTATGGTATGTGAATTATGCCTTTTTTATTTATTTATCTTTGCTTTTGGTGCTGGGACTGAACCCAGGACCTCACATCCACGAAGTACATGCTCTTCCATTTAAGATATGCTCCAGCTCTGTGAACTGTATGGCTGGGTTTTTGTTTTATTTGTGTGTTTGTTTTAGTACTAGGGATTGAAACCTGGGGTGCTTTATCACTGAGCTACATCCCCTTTTTATTTTGAGGCAGGGTCTTGCTAAATTGCTGAGGCTGGCTTCAAACTTGTGATCCTCCTGCCTCAGCCTCCCAAAACGCAGGGTTTACTGGTATGAACCAATGCTCCCAGCTGTTTTTAAAAAACCATACAGTGCCTTCTAAATTAACTTCCTAGGAAGATAAGTTGTTCTACTGCTTATAATTAAGAGTTGAGCTAATGTGGAAGAAATCAGAGGAAGTCCCACCCACAGATGAATCACTGACCAGGAAACATTCAAATAAAGTCACCCAAGAAATGGGACACAGAGTCACCTAGAAAATTAGGTGCAAGACATTCTCGCGGACTGCAAATTGGTGAAAATATGGAAAGCAGTATGGAGATTCCTTGGAAAACTGGGAATGGAACCACTATTTGACCCAGCTATCCCACTCCTCAGTCTGTACCCAAAGGACTTTTAAAAAGCATAATACAGGCACACAGCCACATCAATATTTGTAGCAGCTAAACATGGAACCAACCTAGATGCCGCTCAGTAGATGAATGTATTAAAAAATATATTCACAATGGAATACACTCAGCAATAAAAGAGAATAAAATCATGGCATTTGCAGGTAAATGGATGGCGTTGGAGGAAATAATGCTAAGTGAAGTTAGCCAATCTCAAAAAAACAAGTGCTGAATGTTTTCTCTTATATAAGGTGACTGACCCATAATGGGGTAGGGAGGGAGGGGGAGCATGGGAGGAATAGATGAACTCTAGATAAGGCAGAGGGGTGGGAAGGGAAGGGAGGGGGATTACCAAAGATGGTGGAATATGATAGACATCACTATCCAAAGTACATGTATGAAGACATGAATTGGTGTGAACATACTTTATATACAAACAGAGATACAAAAAATTGTGCTCTATATGTATAATAAAAATTGTAATGCATTCTACGTCATGTACTTAAAAATAAAATCAATTAAATATTTTTTTTTTAAAAAAAGACATTCTCACAGGTTCCCTGAGCCTCAGGCAGAGCTTGCAAGGAAGGGAAGCAGGAGACTGAGCAACAGGGAAGAGAAAGACATCTCCCCATCCTAGGTGTGGTATCTACATCATTTTACCTTATGCATTTTCTGCTTTTCAAGTAATGATAGCTAAATAAAAATACATGCTACAAATAAAAACTTCTATCCATATTGTTCAAGATTATTGCCTGGCAAGGGGAAATGAGTGTGGTACATTTTAAGGCGGGGGGTGTACTAGCATAGCATGTATAATGAATGCACAAAGTGGAGATTTTTGAAAGATACATACACATATATAAATATGTCTACAAAAACGACCAGGTTGAACATCCGTAGCAGGCTGCTAGCACAGTAAGAAGCCAAGAAATATCAGCTGTTATTGTGACTTCCTGCACCAAATACTCGGGATGGTTATCTCTGAGAGGCAGTCTGAGCTAATCTTTTTGTTGCTTGTTTCCCACAGTATTTTACAATGGGTACGTATTGTTTTTACTGGGTTAAAACAGGGTTCCTGAACCTCAGCACCATTCACACTTTGGGTTGGATGTTGGTAGATACCAATGTCCCTGGTGTTTATCCACTGCACTGACCAAGTTGTGACAAACAACTTGTTCTCCAGACATTAGCAGTGTCCCCTAGTGTGTGAAAGTGTCCCTGACTGAGAACCACTAGATTAAAATACAAGTTATTTCTTTTGTTGTTTTCTTTCTTTTTTTTTTTTTTTTTAACTTTTTACTGAGGATGGAACCCAGGGCCTAGTATTTCTAGGCAAGTGCTCTACCACTGACCTGCACCCCCAGCCCTAAAATATACCATTTGTTCAATCTGGATGGATAACACATACATGTTCATTTTATTATTATTTTGACTGTGTGTGTGTGTGTGTTGTGTGTGTGTGTACACAGCACATATGTAGTATATACGTTTTTTTGGATAAATGGTGTATTTTATAATCTAAAAATTTTAATTAAAATATATAACTAGGGCTGGAATTGTGGCTCTGCGCTAGAGTGCTTGCCTAGCCCATGCGAGGCCCTGGGTTTGATTCTCAACACCATATAAAAATAAAATAAAGATATTGTGTCCAACTACAACTAAAAAATAAATATTTAAAAATAAATAAAATATATAACTATATTTTAAGCAAAGAGAGATCAGTAGAGGAAAGGGACCAATGGATGGAAGGCAGGGAAGGTGGAGGGAAGTGTTTGAGGATTGTGATAGTAGCCAAATTATATTGTCATAGAGTGTGCATGTACAAATATGAAACAACAAACCTCATCATTATATACAACTATAATGCACCAATAAAAGGTGTGGAAAGAAAAAAATAATATGTGACAGTATGTTAAAAATTAGGTGCCACCTGGACACTGATTTAAGTCATATAGCCAAGAATAACAATTGTTCTTTTCACTTCCTTATAAGACTACTCTCTACACAGTATTTTACTCCCTTAGAACAACTTTACAGAGCAGCTCTAACAAACCGTCTCCACGTCACACAGCTGACAAGTGAAGGAGGCTGGAAGCTGAGCCCATCACGCACGCATCCTCTCCCTAGCTGCCAGGGCTCTCGGCCAATCATAAGCCGCAAACACCAAGCAAAACCCAACGAGGATTTACAAGGTAGTGAGCCCCGGCTCCCAATCCCACCCCACTCCGCCACTGGGCCACCCCCGGGCAAGTTCCTCTGCCTCATGTGCGACACAGGGAGAGGAGGACGCACTTCCCGGGCCGTGTGCGGGGATTAGAGAGAGCAGAGCGCCCGTCTCAGAGGAAGCGCTCCCTAACTGTCGTTTGCCTGTAAACTGTAAAAGCAAGGTAGAGGCGATGACGACCCAACGACAGCCTTGTGACACAAGTCTTCAAAGGCCACCCTACCTTCCAGAAGGCTAAAAGGAGGTTCGGGGCGGCGGCGGGGACCTGCCCAGGGCCACACGGCGAGGCCGGGGTACAGAAATCTCAGCCGCCGACCGGCCGAGTCCCGGCTGGAGTGCCCCAAGCCGCGGCTCACAGCCGCCCGGGGCCCCACTCACCGAACTGCATCCAGTCCCAGTCGCTGAGCGTGTCCATGTTGCGACACAGGTCGTCCAGCACCCAGGCGGGCAGCTGGTAGATGTAGCAGGCCATGTCAGGCTGGCCGGCGGGCCCAAGAGAGACTGTGTCGCGAACCGCGGACGCCACGGCTCTGGCGTTAGGCGCGAGGGCCGCGCGGGAAGTGGGCGGGGCGCGCCGGCCGCCACCGCCCCCCAGCGGTCACCAGCGGCACAGCTCGCTCTTGCGTAGACTAGCGGGAGGGGCCGCGCAGCCGGGGGGGGGGAGTGAGGCCGCCGCAAGAAGGGACACAGGCCGCGTGGGCATTCTGTGACAGCCACGGGAAGCCTTATAAGTCCACTTCCAGGGCTTTGGGCACTACACCGCCTCATGCATTCAGGAGGCTGAGGCAGGAGAATCGCGAGTTGGAGGCCAACCTCAGCAATTAAGCAAGACCCTGTCTCAAAATTTAAAAAAAAAAAGAAAGAAAAGAAAAAAGGACCAGGGATGCAGCTCAGTGGTACAGTGCCCCTAGGTTCAATCCTCAGTACCAAACTTGTCTTTACATGAACGAAGTAGGAGGAACAGAATTTATACTAATAATAGCTAATATTTATTAAGCACTTAACTATATACAGACTGCACCCAGATTATTTTACTTACTCCTTACAATGACTCAATGTAGGTATGGTGATTAACCCTCATCCTACAAATGAGGGAACTGAGATACAGGTCAAATAAAGTGCCTAAAATCATACATATAGGGCTGGGGATGTGGCTCAAGTGGTAGCGCGCTGGCCTGGCATGCGTGCGGCCCGGGTTCGATCCTCAGCACCACATACAAAGATGTTGTGTCCGCCGAAAACTAAAAAAATAAAATATTAAAATTCTCTCTCTCTCTCTAATAAAAAATAAAATAAAATCACACATATACAAGTGGCCAAGCTGGGATTTAATAATGTGCCTAAAATAATATAAGTACAAAGTGACTGAAATGGGATGTGAACTCAAACAGTCTTAGTGCCAAACTCTTCTTCCCCACTAGCCACAAATTGCCTGTTACCCTAATTACTGTTTCTTTATTTCTACAATGTGCTTTCCCTGTTTGATTTTAGGTAATTCTCACAAGCCTGTGTTATATTCTTTTTGTTTGCTGAGATAGGGAATCACTCTATTGCCCAGGCTGGCCTTGCACTCCTGGCTCAAGTAATCCTCCTGCCTCAGCCTCCCTAGTAGCTGGAACTATAGTTGTGCACCACCACATCCAACTTATTATTCCCATTTTATACAGGGCTAAATAGGTTTCAAGAGGTTAGGCAACTGCACTGAGTATAACATGTAGCTGTAAACACCAGCTTGGGAGTGTGGCTGCCACAGAAGGAAACTGAAATCAAAATGAAAAGACCTGGGACCAAATCTCAGTTCTGCCATCAACAGGCTTTGTGACCCTGGACAGCTTACCTTGACATGGTCAGGGACCCCTCCCCTACGCAAAATAGGACCCCTTAGGACTAAGGAATGAAAACCTTTCAGGGGAAATAGGGCCAAGCTAGCAGTCTTATGGAATTGATACACATTCCAGAAAATGAGGAGTTAAAAGGTAGGCTAGTTTTTAAGGTTATGGAAATGAGGTAATAGCCCCAAAGATGAGAGGCTGGGGAAGTGGGCTTAGCCATTTGAGTCCACTCGGTCGGTCAGCAGATATGCCAGCCCAAGACAGGCAAAGCAGGGTCTGCACTACTCTGAAAATAATAATACTTTCCCAGATGATGAGTGACAAATGCATAGGTAAAATAGTTACCATTAAAGTAAACCACAATTACCTTTATCTTATTAGCATAATAAAACACCCCCCCAAGGGAATGAGATGTGCAAAGATGCAACTTCAGTGCCACCTGTATGCATAATGACATCAAGTGGCTGAGCTCCTGTAGCTCCTGCCTGCCCCACAGATGCCATAAAAGCTCTTCTCCCCAGGGATCTTTGTCCCCCAAGTGCTATCTCCCTTCTGTCTAGAATAGAAGTCCTTAAACCCTTGCATGTTTAAATCATTTCAGGGTCCTTTGTTTATTTCTACAACTCTGGGTCTAAGAGGGCTAGGTCAGTAACAATTTTATTGGTCAAGCCTTGTTTTTCACAAGTGGGACTGATCATTCCCCTACAACTTTTGCATTGTGAGTGAAGGAAGCAAATAAGACCAAATTATACAGTCCACCGAGAACATCTAAAATGAGCTGGGCACAATGGTGCATATTCATAACTCCAGTTATTCAGGAGGCTGAGTCAGGAGGATCGTAAGTTCAAGACCAGTCTGGGCAACTCAGCAGGAACCTGGCGGGGGGGGGGGACACAAACACCTGTAATCCCAGCAACTTAGGACACAGAGACAGGAGGATGGCAAGTTTGAGGTCAGCCTCAGCAATTTAGCAAGCCCCTAAGCAACTGAGAATCTATCTCAAAATTTAATAAAATTTTAAAAAGGGCTGGGGATGTGGCTCAGAGATTGGACATCTATGGCCTTGAGGCCAGAAGTGAAGCATGTCTCAGTGTGCTGAGATGCTCTTCTAGGGTATTCGCAGGGTTGCAGATGGACTCCAAGGTGGAAGACTAGGATGGATTGATAGGCTGAGCAGGAAAGCACCTACAACCCAGGTGCAAGGGGACAAAGGAGAACCAAGGCCTTCATCTTTCTCCCTTTTCTCTATTGGCACAGTCTCCCATTTATTTATCCCTTTCTTTTTCTATGTATTTATTTTTTTTTAATTCAACAATACTAGGGATTGAACCAGGGGCTCTACTGCTGAGCTACACTCCCAGGCCTTCTTTCTTTTTTTAATTTTGAGACAGGTTGCCAAGGCTGGCATCAAACTTGCAATCCTCAGCCACCTGAGCCCCTGAGTGCTGGGTTTCTGTTCTCGAGACTAAAAGGCTCAGGGGTCACTCCAGTTGAACTGGGCTAACTGGGCTACATGAAATAACCACACGAGACACAAATACCTTTTTATTTGGAGTCGCTGTGACGGCTCCTCTAACCTTAAGGGTCCGCAGAACGAGAAAGAGCGAGAGCACGCGCTGACCCCTTTTATTGAGGAGAAGCTATTCAAATGAGGCAAGGGTCAGGTTTCAGGGGGCTGAGTATCTTCATGACGTCCACTGTAAGCAGGTTGACTGATACCTGGTAGGCCACACCCAAGGGCACAGTAAGAGAAGGGGATACACACAAGGCACTTCCATGGAAGATTCTATCCTAAACAGGACAAGGGGTTATATTACAAAGGAACAGGTGAGCGTAGCTTCACCCACGGGGCTGTAGCAAGACACAACCATGCACAAGACACTGACCCTTGCACCCAAGAAGGGTGGGGAAAGCTCTGCCACATTTCTGCGACTGAGCGCCTCAGCACCCAGCCAGGGAATGTGACTCAGTCACGTGCAAGGTTGATCTCCCACACCTGAGATTACAGGTGTTCCACCTTACCTAGCTTATCTCAGCCTTTTATTATTATTTCTTTGGTGGTACTGGGGATTGAATCTGGGAGGTACTCTACCACTGAGCTATACTTTCAGCCCTCTTAATTTATTTTTTAATTTTGAGACAGCATCTAAGTTGCCCAGGCTGGCCTCGAACTTTCAATCCTCCTGCTTCAGTCTCCCAAGTAGCTGGGATTACAGGCATGAGCTACCATATCCAACTTATTACTTATTTTTTATTCTTTTGATCCTGGGAATAAAAGCCAGAGTCTTGGGCATGTTAGGAAGGCACTCTACCACTGAGCTACACCCCCAGCCTAAGATGCAGAATTATAATGTCAAGAAAACCTAAAAGATGCAGACTGGACTTCATGAATCAAGAGGGCAAAGCATCAATTTCGACTTCCCATCTTTTGTGTGTGTGTTGCTGGGGACAGATCCCAGGTCCCCTCACATGCTAGGCAAGTGCTTCCCCACTGAACTATTTGTATTCCCCCAGCCCTACTTCTTATTTCTAGCCCAGCACTCTCTCCTATGATTCTACGTAGCTGCTGGTAAAAATATTAACTTACCTTTTTTTGGTCATGTTTTCATGGACGTAAAGAAAAACTGTTTCCAGTATGAATGCTTTCCTTTTTAAAAATTTTCTGCAGTGCTTAATTTTTTTTACAATGGTATTTCATTCTAATAAAAACAATAAAGCTAGAAGAAGCAATGTTAAATAAATAAATACATATGCAACCTAAGGTTGGAAAAAGAGACTTGAATGAGGTTACTTGTGTTTGCTTCCCCATCCCACACAAAGCCATTAAGCAAACAGCTTTCAAAACTCTCTCTCAGAGAAAAATCAGGTTAAAATAACCTGCCCTACCTGTTTCTTCTACTCTGTGCCATTTAATGTATTAAACAGCCTTAAAAAAAAAAATCAAAACAGGAAACATCACAATCTCTTAAGAACAATACATTTAATACATTCACAGGATTCCAAATGAAAAACAACATTACTCATGCTATATGTTTTCAGTTTTCCTTGGACAACACAAAAAAACACAGTACTCAACCTTGCGTTTTCACCAGAGGAATGTGAAATCTCATTTTGACACATATACTCTCATTTTGACACACAAACAAGTTTAAAGAAATAAAAACAACATTAAACTACTGCAGCACCAGCTGACTTCCTTCAGTTTCCACTCAAAAAACACAGAACTCAACCTGTGTGTTTTTATGGGAGGAATGTGAAATCTCATTTTGACACAAAGACAAGTTTAAAGAACTAAAACAACCTTGAATCTATTGTGATACCAGCTGACTTCCTACAGCTTCCACTCTGTCCCACACCACACCACCCACAGCTGCACGGGGAACTCTCCCCCTCCACCCTTGTTTCCTCAACAGAAAATTAAATATTTAGAGGTTTGTCACTGAATTAAAACTACTATAACATGCTAAAAAAAAAAAGCCAATTTATTTGTTGAAAGAGAGGAGTAAGATTAGATGATGCTTAAAGGGCATAGGGAAAACTATTCACATTTGTCTCATTTGCTTCACTCTGGTTTTAGAACATAGGATTGTGCCCAAAGGAACTAATGATGCCAAGAAATACCCCAAACACTAATTATAAAGAAGGACTATGCTAATGTTTATGAAAAGCTTATGCTAATGTGGAAAAATATTTAAGTTATAAAGTTAAATGAAAAAGAAGGATACAAAACTGTATATGCATTATGATCTCAACTATGTCAAAAGCAATAAAACAAAATATGCCCTGTAAGAGGCTGAAAGAAATTAGTGGAAAAGCTCAACAGCGGTTGTATTTAAGTAATGTGTCTACAGTGATCTTTTTTTTTTCTTCTTTTTTTAACTTTCCTGTCTCTTCTAAATTTTCTCTCATGGGAGGATTTTTTTTCAAAAAATATTAATTACAAAGAAGTAAGTCTGAATTAAGTTTTGAATTTGAATCCAATCTATAAGAAAGGATGCGAATGTTCATAAAACTGTAAAACATTCCAGGCTCCTTGACAATCCTACTGTTGGGAGTAACTAGCCTGAGGGTAGAGGGGTTCGGCTTCTCCACATCCCAGAAAAAAGTGTGACCAGGTCCTACTGATGCAAATGCTGAACTGAACAGAAATGTAATGGTTTTACAGAAAGGAACAGATATCCATGCCTGGCAACAACTTTTTTATAGTAGGAGCTCTTCCACACTAAATTAAACATGAGGATGGCTCTTTCCTGCTATTGCCTAGATACATGTCAAGTTACAAGAACACTATTATCAGTCAGGCATAGTGGCCCATGCCTATAATCCCAGCGATTTGAGAGGCTGAAGCAGGATTCTAAGTTCAAGGCCAGCCTTGGCAATTTAGCAAGACCTTCAGCAACTTAACAAAATCCTGTCTCAAAATAAAAAACAAAATGGGCTGGAGAGGTGGCTCAGTGGTAAAACACCCCTGGGTTCAATCCCCAGTATCAACAACAAAAACAAAAAGCATAAACACTATTATCACAGTGGCTATGGAAACCTGATCCTCGTTTAGAAACATTAATAAAACAGTATTACAACAAGAGTGGACAAGAAAAGTGCAACACTTAGAAAAAGTGCTTTCTATAAAAATGATTCCCTTTAACATGTTTCTTTACTGCACACACTTTAAGGCCTCCCTCCTTTCCCCTCAACAAGAGAGGAGGCCGACCCTCCAAACGCTTTCTTCTAAATCATCCATCAGACTGAAGGCGCACAGTGTCCGAGGCACTAGGGTCTCAAAGAGGAGAAAACCTGTCCCTGTCTCAAGGACGTTGCAGTCTTGCAAAAGTGGGAGGTGGACATATCCCCAACCACCACATGTCCCTTAAAAGCAGACACTGCCTCTTTCTTACCATTAAAGAACATGCTGCAATTCTCACTGAATTACTTACACAAATATCCTTACACTGAAACTTTCCTGACTTACTAGGAGGCAAAAATGCAAGTATTTTCTCTTGGTGAGTACTTCTCAAAAGAGCAGGTACTAAGTGACACTTCTGACATTTGCCCCTAAGCATCACAGCGCCTAGTGAAGTCAGTTAACATACTTCTTTCTAGGCAATAGGAGCTTATTTTACTCCAAAAAAGATATTTTGAAACCGAGAGTAAGTGACCAGTCCTATATCTAGATCAATCCTCATCAGTATGATCAAAAGCTGAGATGCAGGAACGGTAACTTCAATTAAATTCTTCAGTCTCCTATTCCAGTCGTTGATTTTCAATGTGCTCCTGTGTTAGCCGTTCCAGGTCTTTCCGCACATTCGGGTGGTCTTCCAGATCTTCGTAGAGGGACCTGACGATGTCCAGTCTCCTGTAGTTCTCGGGCTTGACTAGGCTTCGGACAACCTGCAGGCATCGCTCTTTCAGGGTATACACTGTAAGGCAGGAAACCAAATCCTCAGTGGCAGGCTTAGGCCTCAGAGCAAGGAATGAGTGAGAGGCTCTGCCAATCCCAGCAAGTATGTTTACTAAAGGCGAACCTTACATTAGGTTAAAAAAAGAAAAGGGTGAGCACATATGTTGTGTGTGACATTAATGGGTGCCTCATGAGTTTCATGCCCCTGTATAGTAACTTCCCCTTGAAAGTGAGACTGTGATTTGCTTAAATGAAGGCAGATGAGGTGATGCTGGCTTCTCTGAGCCTAAGCCTTAAGAAGGGGTGGTGACTTCTGCTTTTACATTCTTAGGAGCCCTGAGTTTCACTGCTGGAGAGAGCACACAGGAGGGACAGTCCCTGAGACCACCTGGAAGAGGGGCCCAACCCCAGGCCACCTGCCAGCAGAAGACAGCAACACTGCCAGTCTACAAAATAAACACCAAGCTGAACTCAGCATAGGCAGCAGAATTAGAACAGATTTTTTTTTTTAAGTTTTAGGGGCTGTTGCCATATTGCAATAGATATCAAAACCAGTGTGTAACTAGATTTGGGAATAACTCAATTTTTATTTTAATCTCACTGGGGAACTAACTTTTTAAAGGTATCAAAAGAGGCAAAATTTAACCTAACAGTGCTCATTCTGAACACCCCCCCCCCATTTTTTTTTCCCCCACTAGGGATTGAACCCAGGGACACCCACTGAGTCACATTCCTCAGCCCTTTTTATTTTTTATTTTGAGACAGGGTCTCACTAAGTTGTTTGGGGCCTCGCTAAGTTGCCGAGACTGGCTTTGAACTTTCAATCTTTCTGTCTCAGCCTCCTGAGCTGCTAGGATTACAGGCATGCACCACTGAGTCTGGCCCCACTTCTTTAAAACAGTATCTATACATACATTTTAGTTTTAACCCAATGAACCCATAGGTACTTATTTGGTTTTTTTTTTTTTTCCTGAAGAACTTTAATTTCACAGGGTTCAACTTAATAAATAAAATATTTTGAGCTTTAAACGAATAGTGAACTATGGTATTAATCTTTAATTCATTGATTTATTAATCCCTGATTGACACCGAGTTTAACTGGATTAAATTAAAAATATAACACCAGAAGTCAACAAATAAGCCATGATATCTTTTTTAAAAATATTTTTTTAGTTATACATGGGCACAATATCTTTATTTTGTTTATTTATTTTTATGTGTTGCTGAGGATCAAACCCAGGGTCTCACACGTGTGAGGCGGGCGCTCTACCGCTGAGCCATAACCCCAGCCCCATGATATCTTATTTTCCTATTCTTCTGGGACCCTAGGGACAAGCCTACTCCAAATGGCATCCATAATTCTACAATCAGATATTCAGTTTAGACCATCTTTTAAGAGCCCAGAGTGCTTTTGAGATACCAAAACATCTTTGTTCAATACACATCTATTGAACAGGCGTGGTAGTGCACACCTATAATCCTGGTAATTCAGGATGCTGAGGCAGGAGGATCACAAATTGGTGACCAGCCTCAGCAACTTAGCCAGATCCTGTCTCAGAATAAAAACTAAAAAGGACTGGAGATGTGGCTTAGTGGTTAAAAGCCCCTGGACTTAATATGCAATACCATACATACACACACATACACACACACACACACTCATACACACAACATATGAAAAAATATTATTTACAGTAGAGAACAAAGCATAAAAAGACTGAATGAGAAGGCTCACAAACCTCTAGCAAAAAATAGTAAGAAATGGTACTCCAAGTAACCTATCTTCTACTTATTCCAAGGAACAATCTTATCTTTTTAAAAAGACTGAGCATCAGTACCTGGCAGAGTGATGTTGGCAAAAATAGGCTGTCCGTCAACATTGAGAGATGGCACAAATAGTTCAGTTTGGTTAACCAGAAGCCCGTCATATGTGCCTGCGTCTCTGAAGAGCCAAAGGTGACCTGTTAACACAAGCAGAGGCTGTTAAGGAGACACACTGGTCTAAGACAAGGCACCTATTCTCTCTCTCCCCTGACATACATGAAGTGCTTGCCTCTTGTTCTGCCGACAAGTCACAAAGTCTTTCCACCATCAATAACAACAGCAATCCTTAAAAAGGATCTATTTACAGATAAGAAAACTGGTTAAAGAAGGCAAGTCACTTGCTCTAGGCAACATACAGAATGCAGAACCTGTACCTAGGGCTCCAAATCTAAAATTTGGGCAGAAAAGCAAAGCCTAGGTCAAGTAATCAATTGCAAGTCATAATAAACATTGCAAACAGTAAGAGAATAAGCCACAGGTTCCTCATATCTAATTCTCAAAAAGGAGGTACAAAAAGAGCATGGTGTGAGAAATGAGCCAGACAAAAATAGGGTGCATTCTGTATGAACAGGCAAAATTAACAAATGGTGGGGAAAATGGGGGGGGGACCACAGGGAAGGAGGCAAACCTTCAGAACCAAGATTCCATTTGAGGAAGGAAGCTCAGAATAAATATCGCACTCCTTCCTTGGGCATAAGTACTTGAAGATTTAGGTGGGAAATTTTCAGAACTTTAAACTGGTAATTTTTTTGCTGTGGCAAAATATACCCAGGTGAAAGGGGTCTCCCCCCTAATTTAACACTAACTATTTTAAGAGTACAATTTGGTAGCATTAAGTAAATCCACATTTTTAAATAATTTTGTATTAAGCCAGGCAAATTTTGAAGAATACAAAACTCACACAATTTCCTCCATAAAATAAGTTCTATAGAAATATGGATCCCTGGAGGCACTGTGTCTGTGTTCTTCCTCTTCAAACATTAGTTTGGTCTAAAAGGCTGAGACATAACTTAATGTTGTAATACAGCAAGAAGACTGACACCAGATTCAAAGCAGATGTGGCCCCTTGACTGAAGATTTCTTAACCTATAACTATTTAAAATACATTTATTTTCTACATAAATTTTAAAAAGAAAAGAAAAAGGAGAGGGCTGGGGGTGTAGCTCAATGATACAGTGCTTGCCTAGCATGCATGAGGTCATGGGTTCAAACCCCTGTACCATAAAAAATTCATTAGCTTATTAAGTATGTCACCCTAAAAGAAGAAAAGACCCATCAAGAAGGATCAGCACAAGAAAATTAGGAAAATTAATCCAGAGTAGGACTACTCTCTGCCTGAGCTAGGGGAAGCTTATTGACTCCACCTTAGATAAGGCCTGGTTATCCCTCACCAGGGTTTTTTGTTTTGTTTTGTTTTTGGCGGTGCTGGGACTGAACTTAGGGCCTCACACATGTTAAGCAAGCGCTTTACCACTGAGTCACATCCTTGGCCTCCCCTCACCAAGATTTTTACAACAGCTTCCTAACTGGTAGACCAGTAAGTAGTTCTCCCTCTCCAAGCCCCTATGCAACCTGGGTGAGCTTCTTGGTATGTAAATCTGACTATGTCAAACAGCCCTATTTCACTAGGGCTACTTCTGAGCTTCTTTTCCTACCATTCCATATCCACCACCCCTTCTGGCAAGGCCCCAGTCTTGGCACACGAGGTTCCTTCTGTCTACAACTGAACTCATATTTCTTGGATTGGCTGACTTCTAGTCAACCCTGCTTCTGAACTGAGACCACAATCCCCTCCCACGCTCCCACAACCCCCTGAGCTCTGTTCCTATCGCAGCAATTATGACACTGGCTTATTCTTGTCTATTCATGAATCTCTCTCCCCAATGGGACTATGGTCTCCACGATGGCAGGGACCCTATTGGAAACTGAAGCACTGGGAATATCAGGACTGAACGAACAGGCATTAGAGATGGAGCCACATTTGGGGGATAAATGCACTTGAAAGGGGGAAAAGCCACCTTCAAATGTAAATCTTTCAGTTTTACAAAGAAGGTTCTGCCACCTGCAGCATCAACTTGGATCTGTCACTACGTCTGTGTGGCTTCTGTTCCTCGACCATGAAATGGGAAAAACAGTAATTTCGCCTGCTTTCCAGGATGGGGGAAGGACTGAGTAGCATCGCTTTATCGTCCTGCGGTCCACAGGCCTAGGGAGCGGAGCAGCGATCAGCATCGGCATCCGCAAGGGCTCGCCTCGCGCCCCGGGACAAAGCAGGCGGCGCGGCCGGGCCTCGTACCTCGGTAGCTGTGGATGCGGCGGCCCGTGCCCGGCGGCAGCGTGGGGTAGGGCTGCGGCTCGCCGTCGAAGTTGAGCCACACAGGTAGCACGACGCGCGGGCTGCGGTTGCAAAAGATGACCTGGGAGGGCTCGCGCGAGTTCACCGAGCGCAGCACCGGCCGCTGTCGCCCGGCCTCCATCTCCTCCTCGGCGCCCGATTCCTCCCGGTCTGACTCCTCCGGACCGGACTCCTCAGCGCCCGATTCCTCCCGGCCGTACTCCTCAGGGCCGTACTCTTCGGCGCCCGCCTCCTCGGCGCCCTCCTCAGCCCCTTCCCGGCTCCCCGCCTTCCGGGGCATTACCCCAGCAGCCTAGGCAACCCTGGCCCGGTGGCCTCAGGATTCGCGGGCCGGACGCGGGGCGGGACGTGCGTGCGCGCCCCGGGCAGGCCTGCGCCACTCTTCGCGCGCTCTCGGTCAGGCATAGAACACGCAGCCGCAGAGACTATGCGCGTGCGCAGATGGGACCTCGAGCCGGGGGCGGAGTGGGTGTGTTCCGTTGTCGCGTTTCTACCGCGATTTCCTCTCTTAATCTTCCTTCGTTCCTAAGACTTTCAAGGTATTTGCCACGTTTTTCTTACCATCTGCCCTATCATTTAAAGTTTTTCTTACTCATCGTTTGTTTCGTCTCTACTTTGGGTTACAAAATTTAACATGCACAGCAGCGTACCTAAGGGACAAAATTTCCCTCCCACCTTTGCACCCCCCACTCACCGAAAGAGTTCCTGGAAACAAAAAAGTATAACCGGTGTTTGTTGTTGCTTTTGGTACCAGGAATTGAACCCAGGGGTGCTTAACCACCAAGCCACTCCCCAGCCTGTTTGTATGTTTTAAGACGGTCTCACTAAGTTGCTTAGGGCCTCGCTAAATTGCTGAGGCTGACTGAACTCGCGCTCCTCCTGACTCAGTCTCCCGAGCCGCTGGAATTACAGGCGTGCACCACCAGGTCCGACTTGTTTTGCTTTCTTTCAAAGATACTTGTGCATATGAAAGCAATTAAACAAGTTTAAGAAGAGTTTTTTTGTTTGTTTGTTTGTTTTTTGCCTGTGATCTAGGGATGAAACCTAAGTAAATGGGGATTATAGGTGTGCACCATCACACCAAGAGCATATCTTGGTTATTATGGCTATAACTACTTATATATGGGAGTACAGATGTTTCTTCAACATACTGATTTCATTTCCTTTGTATTTCAAATACTCTTTCACTTGTGCCCAGAATTATGCCTTGATAAACTTTCAGAAGGCGAAAATATTTCAATTGAAATTTAATTATATAATTACATTTAATTATATTTAGTCTATCAAATAGCACAGCTGCAGGGCATGGTGGCACACCCCTGTAATCCCAGCATTTGGGGATGCTGAGGCAGGAAGATTGCAGACTGAGGAATTACATTAGTAAGTAGTCTGTCTCAAAATAAAAAAGGCTGGGAATGTAACTAAGTGGTAGAGTGTCCCTGGGTTCAAAACCGTCTACAGGGGTTAAAAAAAAAAAAAAAAAGTTTAGCAGTGCAGTACCCTGCATAGGTTGACTGGGAACTGCAGCTCAGTGCTGCCACAGGGCATCATAAGAGTACTACATAGTCGGGAAATGATAATTTCCACTGAAAAGTCTATTGTGCTTAAAACCATTGTAAAGCTGAAAAATAGTAAAGCCATTCTAGGTTATGGACCATCTACATAGCAAGTAGTGAGACTGCTGGATCATATGGTAGTTCTATTTTTTAAGTTTTTAAGGAAACACTATGCTGTTTTACATAATGACCATACTAATGTACATTCCCAACAATATACAAAAGGTCTCTCTTCCTCACATCCTTGACTACACTTATTTTGTCCTTTTTTTTTTTTTTTTCTTGAGACAGCGTCTTGCCAAGTTGCTTAAGGCCTAGCTAAACTGCTAAGACTGGCTTCAAATTTGCAGTCCTCCTGCCTCAGCCTCCTAAATCACTGGGATTACAGGTGTACACCACCATGCCCACCCTGTATTCACTCTGAAAAGAAACACTGAGTTTGTCACATTGAATGAGTTCAGGTTGAGGATAATCTCAATTCAAAACTGTTTTGTGATGAATCCATATATTCTTTGTACTATTCTTACAGCTTTTCTGTGAGTCTGAAAAATGCTTCACAGATTATGGTTGGGAGATGCAGACTGAGACACAATACCAACCTCCCTCTTAGTCTCAAAGCCCAAAGGAACCAAAGATAAACTTGTCCTAGACACCCTCAAATGCAAATGTCTATGCCAATGGACACCACCTGACTAAATGCCACAGGCAACTGCCCTTTTGCTCTGAGTTGTCAGTGAGATCCAGAAAGAGGTTGATAGATGACCAGCATGGTTCAGAAAATGAAACTCCCTTGTAACATGAGTGACTCAGCACTGACCTTGGGAATAAGGACTGGGTTCTAGCTTTGGCTTTGCCATTATAGTGGGTATAATTACTTGGCGTATCTGGGTTTGCTTCTTTTTTTATAGAAACAAAGATTATCTCGAAGATAATCTTACCTGTCCTAATGTTCTGAGTTTTAATTGTAGCTAATACTAAACTTTGACAACTTAGTCTGCAGGTAGGTGTTATGGTTTAGATACTAGGTGACCCCCAAAAGCTCATACAAGAAAGTTCAAAATGAAATGATTGGATGAGAGTCTTAACCTAATCAGTGCATTAATCCCCTTATATGGATTAACTGGGTGGTAACTGTAGGCAAGTGGGATATGGCTGGAGGAGGTGGGTCACTGTGGGTGTGCTTTGGGGGTTTATATTTTGCCTTGGTGAGGAGAGCTCTCTCTGTAGCTCTTGGTGGCTGTGTCCTGAGCCACTTTCGTCTGTCACACTCTTCCCCCATGAACTCCTGCCTTACCCCGGGTTAGAGTAAGCCATCTGTGAACTGCTGAAACTGATCACCAAATAAACTTTTCCTACTCTAAAATTGTTTTTATCAGGTCTTTTGGGCACAGTGATGGAAAAGTTGACTACAACAGTAGCTTTTCTTTTTGTTTCTTATGTGGTATTGGGGATGGAGCCCAAATCCTCGAGCAGGTGTTCTACCATTGAACTCTACCCGTAGCCCAATCACATTTTGGTAGTTATTAATGGCAGCAACTGTCTACAAACTACCAGAACAAGTTTCATCTATCATTCTCCAGAAGAGTGAGGGCAAACTTTTTTTGCAGGCATCTGTTTGAAACTGAATACAAATGTGTGGAAGGAGCCTAGAGATAAAAGGGCTTTCTACCCCATTTAGTATGGCTTACAGTATACCATACATAGTATAAAAATTATGTGTGTATATTTTTTTGCGAGAGGGTTACTAGGGATTGAACCCAGTAACACTCTTACCACTGAGCTACATCCCTAGTCCTTTTTCTTTTTTGAAACAGGGTCTCACTAAGATACTGAGGCTGGCCTTGAACTTGTGATCCTCCTGCCTCAGCCTCCCAAATCACTGAGATGACAGGCCATGGTACCTGGCTCCTATGTGTACTTCTTTAACTTGATGCAAGAGGTAGTTCAAGGCTTGAGTAACAGAAGGAGAGCTGAGAAGTAGATACTTGTCTAATGCCGAATGATCAGTTCCCCTTTTTCCTGCTTTCTAAAATCCAGTTCAAGGTTTTCTTTTTCTTTACTTTTTGTGGTGTTGGTATTGAACTCAGAGCTCATGGATGCTAAGCATACCACTGAGCTAAACCTCCACCTCTTGTCCTCAAGCTGTTTTTGTTTTGTGGTATTAGGGATTGATCTAAGAGGTGCTTTACTACTAAGCTATATCTTTTATTTTTTGAGACAGGATCTTGCTAAGTTGCTGAAGTCTCACTAAATTGCTGAGACTGAATTCAGACTTGCAATCCTCCTATCTCAGCCACCTGATTGCTAAGATTACAGGCATGGGCCACCAAGCCCAGTTGTCCAACTGTTTAGTACTAGGGATTGAACCTAGAGGTGCTTACCACTGAGCTATAGCCCCAGCCCTTTCTATTTTTTATTTCGAGATAGAGTCTTGCTAAAGTTGCTTAGGACCTCAGTAAATTGTTGAAGTTGGCCTTGAACTTGTAATCCTCCTGCTTCAGCCTCCTGAATTGCTGGCATTACAGGCATGTGCTGTACATGTACATCAGCTGGATGGCTGATTTTTAAAATTTAGCTCATTTCTCACAGGAGAAAACAGGAAAGTTTTTCAGCATAATCTTTCTTCAGAGACCAGTAAGGTTTTGTAACAAAAGGAAGGGAGGTACAATGTGAGTCTCTTCTCTGTATTGTCTAACCTAGGAAGAAGAAAAGGAACTAAATCCAATTTTCCATTATGACGAAGCAACTGAAAACAATAAAATTCAGTATCTCTGGAAACACTTTAACTTCTGAAACTCAAGTCTCCTTAGTTTAAAATAACCATCTTGTCAACATCTTAGCTTTGCTATAAGAATTAAATGTAATGTTTAAAAAGAGAAAAAAAAAACATTCAGCAAACCTAGATTAAAATGTAAAAACAATTTTATCGTCCCCAGGGAAAGTGAAATGTTAGTATTCTAGAACCATGCCTGCATACATTGATTAGTGACGCACTGGAGACAAAAATAAATGGTGGTTTAGCATAACACTATTTATGAACTGCAACAAGCTGGGAACAAAGATGCGACTTGCAAGTAAAATCCCAGTTACTGGAGCCCAACCAAATAGAGCTGTTTCTTTGTGCTCCAGAAGCATCTGTAACTCAGAGATAGCTACAGGAAGTGCTGGAATGGATTAAATTCCTTAGGCAAGACTTTAGAAAACACCACATAGTGAGATGAGTATGTAGCTCAGAGAGCACTTTCCTGGCATGTGAGAAGCCTCTGGAAAAAGACAGCTGGCAGAGGGCTGGGGTTGTGGCTCAGCGGTAGAGAGCTCACCTAGCACGTGAGGCACTGGGTTCAATCCTCAGCATCACACAAAAATAAATAAATAAAAAATAAAGGTGTTGTTTCCATCTACAAAAAAAAAAAAATATATATATATATATATATATATATATATATATATATATATAAAATATAAGGAAAGCTGGCAGAAGTGAAGCCACACAAGTAGTAGTAGTCCAGATTCTGCAAGGGAAATTCATGAAACCATCTTCACAAAATGAACGAGCATAGGCAGATGTGGCTCAGGGGCTGAGCACAAGCTGAGCATGCTAAGGCCCTGGGTTCCATCCCCAAAGATGAAGAAAAAGAATGATGGTGTGGAGGTATATAAGACTTGCATGGGTGTGTGATTGCTTAAAATATCTGAGAGTAGTGAAAAGGCACTGAACTAGGAATAAGAAAATCAGTTTCAGATCTGGCTAGAGCAGTTTATTTATTTTGGGGGTAACAGGGATTGAACTCAGAACACTTAACCATTGAGTCACATCTCCAGCCCTTTTTAATATTTTATTTAGAGACAAGGTCTCACTGAGTTGCTTAGGGCCTCGCTAAATTGCTGAGGCTAGCTTTGAACTCAAAATCTTCCTGCCTCAGCCTCCCCAACTGCTGGATTACAGGCATGTGTCATCATGCCTATCTGATTAAAGAAGTTTGTAAGTGAGGTAGATCTAGGCCCAAATCCAGCACCTCTTTACTTTTTAAGACATGAGCAAGTTGCAGCCTCTCTGAACCTGTTCCTAACCATCACCTAGAGATAAGAATGCCTGTATGCCTATATGTTACAAAACAACTTGAATGTTGTTTGAGGATGAAATTAAAGAAAATGCATAAAGCACTTAACATGTTGTAACAATAACTTAGAGGGTGGTTGTGTATACACACACATCTCCTGGAAGGCCAGGGCCTGGTGTGAACAGGGGATGATTATACAGGACAAATTAAAGCACCATGCAGGATGTAGGAACTGCTGTCACTAGAGGAGGCCAGGTTCACCAGTTTCTCCAAAACAAATGGTACATACCAATTGCTATTTTTCCAGCCTATATTGTACTTAGGGCACTAACTCTTTAACATTCATTACATCGCCCCTACCCCCACCCAAGGTATTAGGGATTGAGCCCAGGGCCACTCTGTCACTGAGCTGTATCTCCAGCCCTTTTTATATTTTTCTTTCATTTCATTTTGTGGTACTAGGGACTGAACCGAGGGTGCTTTACCATTGAGCTACATCCCGAGCCCTTTTTATTTTTTGAGACCAGGTCTTAGCAAGTTGCTTAGATCCTTGCTAAATTGCTAGGGCTGGCCTAAAACTTGTAATCCTCCTGCCTCAGCCTCCTGAGTTGCTAGGATAACAGGCATACACCACCATACCTAGAAACTCAGTATTGTAATACCAATAAATTAACAGATGGGCATCGATAAGGTGATAAAACGTGAGCATTTTCACACATATCCCATGAAAAGGGCCTTTCTGCATATATGGGTTACCCTTACTTTTCCCCTATTAGCATTCTCATGTTATGGTCCTTACACATAACAGAAGCCAATGTTGAGAGCACAAGATAACCTAACGTTTGGCCTTTAAATGTGCTTTTTCATCCTGGAAAAGAACCAAGAAAAAGGACAGGTAAAATATTATGAATAACAAACTCAAGTGACTCTAAAAATATACTACATGAGCTCAATAATGTTGAAAAGAGCACTTACCACGGTAAAGGATGTCAGCTGTCTCCATTATAAGATTCTGTTTTTAAATACAAGTACAGGTTAATGCCTTATATAAAATGCAAGGATCATAAGTCTTTCAGCTTTCAGATTTTTGGGGGTTTTGAAATATTTGTACATACATAAGATAATCTGGTGATGGAACCCAGGTCTAAATATTAAATCTCTTAGTGTTTCATATACATCTTATACACCTAGAATAGCTTGAAGTTAATCTTATATGTGTAGGTTGCTTGTTTTGACAGCAGCCCACATGAGGTCAGATACAGAAATTTCCACATATGGTATCATGTTGTTGGTGCTCAGAAAGTACTGGATTTTGGAGAATTTCATGGATGCTCCATCTGTACTACTAAAAATGGTCTTCCCGGGGTTCTAAAAAAGACCTGAGTGCAGGGGCTGGGGTTTTGACTCAGTTGGTAGAATGCTTGCCTCACATGCACAAGGCCCTGGGTTCAATCCCCAGCAACACACACACACACACACACAGAAAGAACTCAGTGCAACACAGCTTGAATTCTGCAAGTCAGTTTAATTAGTATTTACTGACTACACACCTTCCTCAAGGCATCCAGCTGGGCAGTATAGGAAAAAGGGAATGGAATGCATATACAACAAGATCAAATCCAGAGCTGAAGGGCAGTGTTAGCACAATGTGACAGGAGGAACCAAGAAAAAGGACAGGGCAAATACTGAATGGAAAAGTCTGTGGGTACTTTCTGGGGGAAGTTTGATTTGAGTTAGACTTTGAATGGCAAATATGACTTGTGTAGAGGAAAATTAGTGTGTGCAGAACACGATGAATTCCATGTGATGAAAGTGGAGATTTTTTTTTTTTTCCAACATTTTTGTTTATTATGTGGTGCTGAGGATCGAACCCGGGCCGCACGCATGCCAGGCAAGCGCGCTACCACTTGAGCCACATCCCCAGCCCCAAAAGTGGAGATTTGATTTTGGACAAAAGCCTTCAGAAGCAGGTTGGCCCAAGTTTATAGAAAGCTCTGCATACCAGGATGAACCATTATAGACTCTTCTGTCTGAACTCCAGGGTTTGCTTTTCAAAGGAAGTAGATATTTAGCTTGAATCTTGTAAAACTGATAATCTGCCCTGGATTGTGGTTAAATTTTGTGGATGCTGGTATTTCAACAGAATATAACCATTATGTCTGATTCAGTGCTTTCTTTTATTGGTGAATAACGTGCCTGCATAGTAATACTTGGTCTCCTGCTGAATGACCAAACGATTTCCAGGATGAATTAGTTAGCTGAAGTACAAACACCAGGATTCAGGCTGGTAAGCTACCTAGACTTTGAATCAAACAGCTACATCTGAAAGTTGTAAGTTAGAATAATAATCCTATATATAACGATTCTGTGACCTAGATAAAACCATCTATAGTTTCTCTCCCCACCACAATCAAAGCAGCCAGATGAAGTTGAAGAGTTTATTAAGGAAATATGAGAGGCATAGACACCCCAAGTGACAGAAAGAAAACTCTGAAATGTCCTTTTAAGCCAGGTGGGGGCCTGGCCTTGACCTCCCCAAAAAGGGAAATCAGTGGGTTTGCAATAACATTCTCTGGCAGCCACTGCCAGTGCACAAGTATCTCAAGCAGGACTGCCCCCCACCTCCTATCCAAGGTGGGAATGAGACAAAGACTGTCCACAGAATCAGTGCAGAGGCAAAGAGAAAAGTCTGAGAGAGAAACAGAAGTGAAAGGACCTTAACAAAGAATCTCAGACTGTTGGCTTTGAACACCTCAAATACATTGATAAGTAGGTCCATAAAATGTTACTGAAAAGGTAAAATGCCTAATGTTGTTTCCAACAATTCCCCTGGACTTCTCCCCCATGCCACATCACACTCCCAGAGGTACATGGCAGAGCCCAAAGGCCACACTTTTGAAAAAAGAAAAACAAGAAAAAGCCCTGTTGTTCTTTAAGGAGACAAGGAGCTGAAGGCTGCTGGGGCCTTTCCCACGTGGCCTGTGTTCTGTAAAGCAACTTCCCAGCAGCAGAACAGCATAGTTCTAGGTGAGCGTCTCGCCTTTTGTCACCTGTCAAAGGAAAATTGACATTCAGATAAATTCAAAGGGACTAAGGGAGCCTTTGAAAACAAAAACAAAAACAAAAAAAACACTTTTTTCATATCATTCAGATCAAAGATTAAAAGAGTCAGAGATACCTAAATCCAGGCAAGGTACTTAATTCCTCTACGCCTGTTTCTGCTTTCAGTTTTCTCAATAGTAAATGGAAACATGCATTCTCTCTGGGATAGCCCCTGCCCATCATACTCACCCGTGCTTCAATGTACTCTATTCTCCGTTCAAGGGCTGTCAATTTCTCATTTAGTGTTGCAAGTCTTGAACGACAAGACATATCTGGTAAAAGGAGACTGATGTTCAGGATTAATGTCACTCCAAACACATGTAAGCACATGCACCCACACACAGTACACAGAAACACATACACCCTGTGCTAAAGAAGAGGAATAATATATAATGGGACCTTAGTGGACAAGGTGAGAAGGATCTTAGAAGCACAGTTGTTCAGATGCTACTGAACAACCTACTAAGGATAGAAGGCACAGAAGAGTGGCCCCTAAAACCCGTCCATGCCCTAATTCCTGGAACCTGTAAATATGTATCATACAAGTCCATAAATATAGATGACAATGGTAGAAGGTTGAAATGAGATGGAAGAAAGAGATGAGATTTAAAGCATGAAGAAGACACATACAACCTGTCATAGCTGGTTTTGAAAAGGCGAGGAGGCAATGAGCCAAGGGATGTAAGTGATCTTTGGAAACAGGAAATAGCTTCAGCTGACAGCCAACAAGGAAACAAATCTCAGTCCCACCACCACAAGAAAGTGAACTCTGCCAACAATCTAACAAGCAAAGATGTAGACCCTCTCTCAGAATCTCCAGAAGGAAGGCCTGCTGACACCTTGATTTCAGCCTAGTGATCAGTGTTGGATTTCTGACCTACACAACAGTAAAATACATTTATTTAGTTTAGGCTCCTAAATCTGTGAAAATTTATTATGGCAGCAATAGAAAACTAACACACTAAGGATGTACAAAAGGCCACTAAGTTTCAAGAGAAGAGACATATTGTGTGCATGTGCAAACACTTAATTTAAAAAATCCTTTCAAAATGTACAACTATAATGTACCAATAAAAAATGTAGGGGAAAAAACGAGAAGTGACAAAGCAAAGAAAATAGACATGCCCAAACTTAAGATGAGGTTATGTCCAATAAACCCACAGGAAGTTGACAAGCTAGGGGCGTGGTTCAGTATTGTTTTGGTGTTAGGGGTTGAACCCAGGGGTGCTTTACCATTGAGCTACATCCCCAGCCCTTTTTAATTTTTTATTTTGAGACAGGGTCTAACTAAGTTGCTTAGAGCCTCACTAAGCTGCCCAGGATGGCCTTAAACTTGTCCTACCTCAGCCTCTTCAGTCACTGGGATTACAGGTGTGTACCACCATGTCCAGCTTTTGTTTTTGCGGTACTGGAAACTGAAACCAAGGCCTTGTGCATGCTAGGCAACCATTCTACCACTGAGCTATATCCCAGCCCTTATCTTGGTTGAGCACTTGCCTAGCATGTGAAAAGTCCTGAGTTGGATCCTCAGCATGGGGGAAAATGAAGTATTGTTTTTACTGCATGTATATTACTTTCAAACCATGGTGAAATTGAAAAAGTCTAATGTTGGACCATCAAAAGTCAGGGATGTAATGTCTGTAATGCCAAGAGAGAAAAGCTGAGGCCAAAAAAACAGCAGATATTAAGGAGAAGAAATAAGGTATCAAAAGTTTTTTGGTTTTTTTTATATATTTATTTATTTATTTTAGTTTTCGGCGGGCACAACATCTTTGTTTGTATGTGGTGCTGAGGATCGAACCCGGGCCACACGCATGCCAGGCGAACGCGCTACCACTTGAGCCACATCCCCAGCCCGTATCAAAAGTTTTTGAGCTCTTGGAAGCCTCACCATTACCACAACCCTAGAAGTATACTTAATCTTTCATCTTTATCTGCCTAGACCTTTTAGGACTAGAGAAAACTCAGAGAACATCAAGAACCCTCTGGAACCCACACTCCATCTGTGAAAAACAGCCCAAATCCCTTCTTTTCCTCTACCTTTTCTAGTCTCCTTTCACCTCACCCAAAATGCAACCTAGATTTCCCCCAAAATAACTTTTCCTCTGCAAACTCCTCTCACCGAAACTGCTTGACCTCTCTTTTTCCAACTACCCTCAACATAAAAAAGAGAAAGGCATCAAAGCATGGTGATTATTTCTCACTACCTCCTCCAACACCGTCGCTCAGTCATATCTCTCAATAACCTTTACTTTTTATATCTAAAACATACACTCCCTGAGAGTCTCCCACACAATGATTCAACACCCTAACAACTTTCCTTTTCATCTCTTCCCTGGCTGTTTTGCAAAGTGCTTCAGCAGATTTTGACAAATCTGCCTACACTCTGATCCTGCCTCAAGTTTCATTTCATCCTGTCCAAATCTTACTCATCCTGCCTGCCTAAGCATCTTCCATCAAGACCCAGTTCAAATTCCATTTGGGAGGTCTTACTAGAACATAATCAACCTTTTCTGAATCTATCTGAACAATTGTGGATGAACTTCTAGTCTCTAAGTTATTAGTGTACTTGGTCTTTGGTTGTTACTTCCCCTTTACATGAAGATTTAACAAGAATGTTCATCATTATTACTTATGATGGTGAAAAAACAAAAACATGCCCAGCGTTAAAGGAAAGGTCTGTAAAGTATAAAGAACTATTAAAACAATCATTAGGGGCTGGGGATGTAGCTCTGCGGTAGAATGCCCCTGCCTAGAGCAAGCATGAGGTTCAATCCCTGGCATCCAAAAAAAAAAAAAAAAAGTCATTAAAAATTACAGAGCCTAGGGAGCTATAATTTATTCCCCACACCTCTTAAAATTTGGTTACAGCCCAAGTCTTCCACTTTCTACTTATTTTTCTTACTGTTTTTATGCTTTTCTTTCTCACTCTTGCCTATTTTCACTCCTACTCTTTATTTTGTGTGTGTGTGTGATTGCAGGGATTGAACCCAAGGTCTTGAACATGTGAGGCAACTCTACCAACTGAGGCTATATCCCCAGCCTGCTCTCTTATTTTTTGGTAATTTACATACCAAAAAGTTCACCTGCATAAAGTATCTAATTCAATGGTTTTTAGTATTATTTGCAAAGTTATACAATCATTACCAGAATCTAATTTTAGAATACTTTCATCATCCCTAAAAGACACCTGTTCCTATTAGTACTTTCAGTCCTCACTGTACCTCCCCTCGTCCTCTGGAACCCACTAATCTTTGTCTCTTCAGAATTGGCTTTTCTGAATATTCTTCACTTTTCTTTTTATTTTTTTAAAAAATTCTTTTACAGTGTTGGGGAAGGAAACCAGGGCCTTTCCCATGCTAAGCAAGTGCTCTACCATTGAGTTATATCCCAACCACCCGGCCTTTTTTGTGGAGAGGTACTGGGGATTGAACCTAGTGGTGCTCTACCACAGAGCTACACCCCCAGCCCTTTTGAGACAGGGCCTTGCTAAGTTGTGGAGGCTGCCTTCAAACTAATTATCCTCCTGCTTCAGTCTCCTGAGTGACTAGGATTACAGGTGTGTGCCACTATAGCCCTATTCTTTTCAGTCTTGTTTTCTGTCTGCTAGAGCTGCTTCCTCTAATTCCCAGATCTAGCTTGCACAGGACCACCTCATACCCCACTATTCCTAGATACACTCTCATTTTCAACAGAACCAAATTGTTTTTCAGACTGTTTTTCATCTCAAAAACACACATTATGTATGCCATTTAGTAAAAACATGAATATCAACTCTGACAACCTGTCATTTCCCAAGAAGAGAGACACACCAAAATTATGGGTAGCGTGGGAGAGGTAAGAGGAAGAGTTCCTTCCTGGCTGACTGCTTCTACTCTAGTGGTCAATCTGGTAATGAACCAGAATCTAGTAATGATACTATGCTACTGGCCTACATGGATAAACAGCACTGAAGAATATAAAATGTTCAGCTGCAGAAACTCCAGTCATATTCAGATCCCATTAAATATGTACTGATTCAAATAAAAAACACTGAGAAAGCATTCAGCAGCTGGACAAATCTAAAACCAGAGTGTATTAATGTATACGTTATCACAAGATTTTCACAGCAAATGCTACCTTATTAGGATGCTTAATAGTGTGCACACGTCACCACAGTTGTACATGCCTGTTGTCAGCTACTTCTCTGAATGCTTATTTCATATAATCTTAGTACTACATACATCAAATTTTTTTTCTCTTAAATTTTTCTTTTCCCAGGAGGGGTGTGGGCAGGAGGGGTACTGGGAATTGAACTCAGGAACTTTCTATCTCTGAGTTATATCCCCAGCCCTTTTAAAATTTTTATTTGAGGCAGCATCTTGCTAAGTTGCCCAGGCTATCCTCAAACTTTCAATCCTCCTGAGTCACTGGAATTACATCCTGAACTGTTTTTGCAGGTACATTTTACTCCTAGGATGAGTCTTGGGACTGAATGAAAAAGAGTTTCGGATTTGCAGTGAAGGCCAGGTGTGATAGCATGGACCTGTAGCCACAGCACTGGGAGGATAAGAGAAGGTCACTTGAATCCAAGGGTTCAAGACCAATCTGGGCAATATAGCTAGACCCCATCTTAAATCTGAGGGTACCCAAACTACAAGAGTAATAGGGTAAATAGGCCTGTATTTTTGCAATATCTTCAGGTCATTAAAATCAATCAGTCTAGCCTTTCTGGGTCTCCTAGCTCCAAATCCATTCTTTCCACTAAATCATATTCCTTCACTTGTATTTCTTAAAAGAAAAAAATAAGTTCTTTTTTAGGATACATGAGCTCTATAATATCCTGATTACCATCCTCTACCAAAATTTCTACAGCAACTTCTTATGTGTGAATATGTTTATACTACTAATCTTTTTTTTTTTTTTTTTTTTTTTTTGGTACCAGGGATTGAACTAGGTTAACCACTAACCACACCCTCAGCCTTTTTTTTTTTTTTTTTAAGAGAGAGCGTCTCCTGAGTTACTTAACACCTTTCCTAAGTTGCTGAGGCTGGCTTTGAACTCCCAATCCTCCTGCCTTAGCCTGCCAAGCCACTGGGATTAAAAGCATGCACCACTGCACCCGGCCTCTTTTTTGCTATTTAACATGGCTGAGAAAGGAACTAAAGTACTCACTCTATGGTAAGCAGATGCTCTACCTCTGAGCTACACTTTCAGCCCACTGACAAAACCCTTACTCCTGCTACAAGGATCAGTCCTCTCTCTACAGAACAGTTAATTCATTCTCAATTCTTCTTTTTTTAAATAATCAGCTTTTCCTACTTAATCTTTTTTCTTTTTCTACTACTGGGGTTTGAACACAGGACACTCTACCATTAAGCTATATCCCCAGCACCTTTTTTGGGGCAGGTTTGGCCAGTTGATCCCCCTGCCTCAGCTTCCCTAGGAGCTGGTATTAGGAGCTGGTATCACAAGCTGGTATTACAAAGCTGGTATCCCTTTGCTCAGGCTCCTATTTAATCTTAACAACTTGATGTTGCTGAATTAGTGGTACCAAAAAAAGATTATTAGACATCATCCCTTCTTCTTGTAATTACCTAAGAAACACTATCCAGGGCTGGGGAAGTAGCTCAGTAGTAACGTGCTTGCCTAGCAAGCATAAAGCCCTGGATTCAATCCCCAGCACCAAAATTAAATAATAAGAGATCTTAGAAAGTCTATCCAGCACCAAGGCGTCTGAAAGAAACACTTGGAGAACATAGGGTAGAAGTTTCTACTATAGGTTACTGCCCAGAAGAATATGAACAGTGCATAAAGAATTTAAGACTGTCACGAGCATTACACCCAGGAGAGATTTTGGTAAAGTTGTCTCTATACTGAGAACAACTGCTTGGAAGAATGGGCTAGAAGAAGGCAGAATACCTACTATAAACAATATACCATCCATAAAGAGGGCATTTTCAAGGCCCTACAGGACCCGGGCCTTAACTCTGTCTCACCGCCTACCATTCTGAGCACAGCATACACTGAAGACAGGAAAGAATGAACAGTGAATGGATGACAGGGGCGACTAAAAGAGACTAAAGAAAGAGGTTTTGACTTGATCCTGAAGGAGACGGGGAACTGTTTGAGGAGTCTTTAAACTGGGTAGTGACACTGTCAAGACTGCACGGTCTAGATGCAAAGTGGAGACTGGAATGGATGCGGAGCCCAAAGGACCAGGAGACCACTGAGGAGGAGAAATCCCACGGAGGGCGGAGGGCGCTGCCTTATGTGTCTGGGGAGAGGGCCTGTTAATGAGTCCAGAGAGATGACAACGAAACCATCAGCTTAGGGCTGGGCAACCTCACAGGAACTGCCAGTGGAGCCTAAGGTCGGGGGAAAAGGTGGAGCCTAAAGGAGGAAGCGAAAACCGGCAAGAGCAGAAGTCTCCCGGGGGTCCCCGGAAAGCTCCTCCTCGGCGCCCCTGCAGAACCGCCTCCGAGGCCTCCCTCCTCCCCGCCTCCCCCAGCCCGCCCGCTGACCGAACGAATTGAGAAAGTCCGCGATTTTCTTGATGCTGCTGGTGATGACTTCAATGTATTCCCGGTTCGCCCAGTCTTGGTGAATCTCTCGTTGCACCGGATCCTCCTGTCCCGCCATGGCTGCCGTCTGAAGAAGAGTGAGTGCGCCGGCGCCTCGACCCCATAGGCCGCCAGTGCGCCTGCGCCGCCAGCCCACGCCCAATCGGTACCCACTAAACCCCGACATTGTGGTGCGCCTGCGCACTGTAGCGCCCTCGCCTGCGTTCTCGCTCCGCTCCCACGCCCTGGAAAACAGATGCCTGAACTCCTTGGGCGAGCTGCACACCCACGCCTGTCACTGGCAGTTCTGGTCATTAGGGGGCGCGTGGGCTCCCCTCGCCTACTCCCTTAGCGGCTCCAAGATCTTTTGCGCAATCTGTCTCAGCAATAAGACAGGCATGGTTGATTAAGCCACACTAAATACAAGTCACTTAGGAAATGCCTTTCATATGATGCACCATGTAATATGATGTCCCACTTTGCGTTTAACAAATGAGCAAAACATGGCAACAGTCGGGCCCAGTGGCTCACGTTTGTAATCCTAGCGACTTGAGAGGCAAAGGCAAGGAGGATCACAAGTTCAAGGCCAGCCTGGGCAACTTAGCCACTGTCTCAAAGTAAAAAAAAAATAAAAATAAAAATAAAAAGGGCTGGGGTGTTAGCTCAGTGATAGAGCGCCCCTGGATTCAGTTCCCAGTGACGCAAATAAACGTTTAAGACCCAGCGATGGAGAGGCCAAGCCAAAATTGGTAGGGTCAGAGGTAGTTGGTCACAATGTTAACTAGTATCATCCTTTCAGAAGGAATCTTGTAAACTGGTAGCAAGTAAACATTTCAAAGCTTTTGACCCCCTAATCATTTCATTAAAAAAAATCAGTGGGGGGGGGGAACCCACAAAGACCACTTTAACCACAAAGATGTTCTTCGTGGTAGTAGTATAACTATGGAAGAATGGCTAATATTGTAAATATTATGCAGTCATGAAATGTTAATTATGATCACTTTGGCAACATAAAATGTCACATGATAAACTGAAGGGGAAAACAGAATACATATTTTTCTTTAGTGGCAACTATGTGTTAGTTGATTAGGGCTGCCCTGGAAAGGGAATACTGGCCGCCTGGAGCAAGTTCTCCAGAAGGGAAGTTGTTATAAAAGCCTGAACCCTGCCAGCCCCTCCCACCTCTCTGCTTCCTGCCTCTCCTTGTATTTCCATCTTTCATGTATGTTGCCACCATGTGCCATGGGGCCCTCTCCAGAGCCTACACCACATTGTTATGGATTCAGCCTCTACAATTGCAAGGTAAAGAACTTTTTTTTTTTCCTTCATAAGTAACCTGCCTCAGCTATTTCATTGCAGGAATAAAAAAGCTAATACAAGGAGATTCTGGTTTTCCGTATGTTGCTTCATATCACACTTGGAAGGATGATAAATGACACTTCCAGAACTCGTCCCCAGCCCAAGGTAACCATTCTTAATGGTGCTGTGCTAGGACAATTATGGGTGTACAAGAAAAAGGCAGGTGGGCCATTAGTTCCCCCCACAAATACTGCTAGACAATGCAGTAGATAGGCACTGGGGATTCAGGAGTTAGCTTGGTGGACTCCTTCCTTCCCTCAGCCATCCAAGGCAATTGAAGCAATGCTTACAAACTTGTCAAGTCACTTTTTCAGTATGATGAAAGCATCAGTTTTTCAGCATTGCAACATGAGACAGAATCGCCCTCCCCAACCTGTGAGTACTAGCAGATGAACCCAGGGATGCACTACCACTAAGCTACACCCTATCCCTTTTTATTTTAGGGGGACAGGGTCTCACTAGGGTGCCCAGGTTGATCTAGAACTAGCGATTCTCCTGCCTCAGCCTCCCCAGTAGCTGTGATTACAGGGCATATGCCACCATTCCCCAGAATAATAATCCTGAAGTTTAACAGAAGCAGACAGGTTTTCAATCAGGAAGTCAAGGAAAGATTTTTTTTTTTCCCCTCTTGACAGGCAAACATTTGTAATAAGTTCTGTCTCCTTGCACTGGATCATTTCAATACAGCAGCAAAAGCCTTCAGGACCCTCGGTCCTTAATCCTGAATATGGGCAGAGGGTAATTAATACACATTATTATTAGTAGTAGTAGTAGTACTGGGGATTGAACCCATGTATGCTTAACTACTGAGCAACACCCCCAGGCCTTTTTTGTATTTTATTTAGAGACAGGGTCTTGCTGAGTTGCTTAGGTCCTCGCTAAATTGCTGAAGCTGGCTTTGAACCCGCGATTCTCTTGCCTCAGCCTCCCAAGGTGCTAGGATTACAGGCGTGCACCACCACCCACGGCTTGATACAGATTTTTATCCCTAACTACAGGCCCAGGATTTTTACACCTGACCACAGCCTTTGTGGTGGGGGTTTCTGTTCTCTGTGACCTGATCAAAGGCTCGCAGGTATGGTAGGATGGGGATGGGAAGGAATTCTAACTAGCCCTGCTGAAACCCGAGTCCTGGACCAGGCGTTCCAAGGAGTGAGTGGGAGGCCAATCCTGACACCTCCCAGTGGGGCGGGGCTCGGATTCTCCCCCAGGGGTCCTGGGTCACAAAGGCGGTTGCCAAGCGCGGGTGGAGAAAAGATGCTGCTGCCACTCTGGAGCGTGCGGCCCACGGAGTTCAGCAGGTGAGCCCCCGGCCCGGATGGTGGGACCGGGCCCGGGCTCCCACCTCCTCTTCCGCCTCGGCCAGCGCCGTCTGGCCACCGCACCCGGGGAGGGGCCCCAGGGGGACAATTCCCTTCTCCAAGCACTCCAGCTCCTCGGGATCTGTTCACACAGTTCACGAGGACCTCAGCTGCATCTGGGCGCTGCGTTCCCCTTTCCAAGGTGGGGAAATCAAGGGACTGGGTCCCTTGGAATGGGAGGAATGGTATGAAAGGGAATACTTTGGGGCCAGAAAAACCAGGTGTTCCCTATTTCGGAGCTATTACAGTAGTTTTAGTATACTTCCTATTCAATCCCTCCTGGAATGGGTGACAGTGACTTCTTGCTTGGGATGGGCTGAACCATTTTTAAACCTGTGTGAAGTAAGCCCTCTCTTCCATGTTGTTTCTGAATATTCAGGCTGGACATGTGACAAAGCCTTTTAACTTAGGCTGTTTCCTCTTAGGAGGGTCAAGAAAAGAATCCTGAGGATTTGACTTCTTTTTTTTTGGGGGGAGGGGGCATATGTTTAGAGGAATTAATATTCTCCATCCCATTTTGTCATAAGTGGCATACCAAAGTGGCCCCAATCTTGTATGTATGTTCTTAAGGTCAAGATATCTTGCATCAAAAGCCCTTCAGAGACTGGAATAGATAATTATCCCTTGGGTGCCAATTTCTCATCCTAAGGCAGCCCAGATATTTGAATGTTTAGTAATTTGCAGGAAGGCTGCATAGAACATGAGAAACATACCAGCTGCAGTAAACCAACCCATCTTCTTCATACTAACCATTGCTGGGGCAGTTCTGGGTTGAAATGTCACCAACAATTCTTTTTAAAAGATGAATTTCATTGCTTCAACACTATGGTGAAGCTGTCAACTTCTCAATGATGACAATTACTGGGTAGGATGAGATCAAATCTACCACTGTATTTTGTGGGAGAAGCAAAGAGAGAGAAAAATACACTAGGCTAGAAAGAAAAGGGATTTGCTGTATATGTCCCTTGACATAAAAGGTAGATACTCAAGAAATGTGAGCATCTCTTGAAATCAGTAAGGCCCTTAAGTATTGTCAGTTTTGAAACAGAATGATGGAAAGCTCCAAATCTACTTGGATAAAGTATGAGTTAGCAATCTCCTCCCAACCCACCTCCCCCCCCCCCGCCCCTTTTTGGGAGGTGGTGCTGGGGATTGAACCCAGGGCCTTGTGCATGTGAGACAAGCACTCTACCAATTGAGCTCTATCCCCAGCCCACCTCCCAATCCTTCATTTTTAAAGACAAAATCATCATCATCATCATCATCATCATCATGGTCTTAACCAGTGGGTCAGTGGGTCTCACATGGATGAAAAAACAAAAACCCATACCCAGAAAAACAACAACAAAAAAACGCTTTAGAACATTTTAAGAGACTTGCCCGTGGAAGTGTTTCCCCTCAGCCTGGTATAACTCCTCTAAGGTGGTCCCCAGTTGCCTAGGACTCAGAAGAGCTGTTACCTTTGTATGAGGAAACAGACTTTTAGGGGCAAGAGGGAGCAGACTGTCTCCATTATGAAAAATAGTGCAAGCTGGCTGGAAGTGCTTAAAAGGAACAGTGTAAGTTGTTCTTAAACTGAAAAGTACAGTGGAGTCCCCTGAAGGGTTTGTATAAATGCAGGTTTCTGGACCCCACCCCAGAGTTTCTGATTCTGTAGGTCTGAATTGGAGCCTAAGAATTTGCATTTCTACCTACTTCCCAAAGGATGTTCAATCTGTTAGTCCAGAAAGCATACTTGGGAACCACTGATGTTAAAATACATGGCATTAAGGGTGACCTATTTTTAAGATATGGCCTGAGCTGCTTCTAATCTCAAATAATAAGATCTCATCATGAAGTCCCAGCACCCTCTGTCACCTCAGAGGTATATATTCTGTCATGAGCAGTTACCAACACAGCCCAAGTCCCAACAGTGGATTGGGACATTCCATGTCAGACAAATCCATTTCCTCATTTGTAGGATGGGTTAAAACCTCCCTTTAGAGGCTTGTAAAAGGTTTAATAGAATTTTAGTGCACATATCAGTTGACACATTCAATACTCATTACCATCCCCATCCCCTACTGTCCTTTCTAGAATTACTAATACCCTATCACTACTGGAATCTGTTCATGGGAACCACAAAGTAAGTTTAATAAGTCAGTAATGAGACAGATGTGAACTGTCATGGCCATGACCTCGCCGGGGAAATTCCATGTTTTTGATTCCTCTCCTTTAGGACTGTCAATGGCAGGATATCAGCTCTGGTCACCATGGACCCCACTGGATGAGAGCTTCCAATGGCTGCGGCACACAACACCTACCCCTTCCTCCAAGCACCCCTTTAGGGCCTCCCCCTGTTTTCCACATACCCCTTCTGACCTTGAAGTGCAGCTGTGCTTTCAAGAGGTCACTCTAGTCCTAGACAGCCCATTCCTGGAAACCGGAGTGAGTCCCAAGTTACCCTGCCACACGTCAGAGCTCCGAACCATGAGCAACAAGAAAGGACTGGTCAGGAAGCCCCAGCCCATCCGCCTCAGTGGAGTGGATTCTGTCTTTGGCAGGGTCATCACGGCTCAGCCACCCAAGTGGACTGGGACCTTCAGAGTTTCAGACAAGTCAGCCTTCTGCAAAATTATCAGCAGGGAGCACCAGTGGCCCACTGGACTTAAGGAGCCTCAGATTCAGATGACAGTGACTATGTGCAAACAGATGCTGCGCTCCATCCTCCTGCTGTATGCAACATATAAGAAGTGCACCTTTGCCTTACAACACTCCAAGTAAAGGGTCCCCATCTGATCCCCCCAATCTTCACACCATGTTCTTTGGTATGTACCTGAAGCTTACACAAATCTGTTCACATAAATGAAACTGTGACACTGCCCCAGCTATTCTGCTTTCCTGTGAAGCAGTGATAATTCAGGAGCCCCTGTCTCTCCAAAATAAGGGGAGGGTGGGCAGTGATAACAGTGCAAGGGAGAACATTTCCATTGTAAATTTGAAACGACCATTTAAAAGAGTCAAACTAGCATTGACATGTACATGTGATAAAGAACCATTAAACCATATAAATCAATGAGCCTACTGTGAACTCACTTAAACACCAAAGACAATAATGAATTGGGGGAAAAGGGGATTTTGAGAAAGGAGTGTGCATTTTTTTGTACCAGAGGAAGATGGGGTAAAAAATATTTATGAGTCAAGAATTAGTTTAAAAACTGAATAGCCTTCCCCCATCAATACAATGACCAAAAAACAATACCTCAGGATAGTACTTAAATGGATAGAAATATTAACAAATATTAAACAATCTTTACAGCCTGGCAAGAAAGAACTTGGTAGCAGCACTGAAATTGGGCTTTTTGACAGAAGAAAGGAGAGCCCTCCATTTTAGATGAAGTATATTCATAATGTTCTGTTTCTAATAAACAATTTTGTAGTATTCTTGTAATTAGATTATAGGTGCAATTCAGAATAATGTGGAAATAAATATATGTATGCAAAGTCAGCATAAATTTGATGATGCCTCTTCTTCCTTTGTCTTATATTACTATAAGGATCCAAAAAATTATAAGGTAGCAAAATATTCCTTTTGATTCTGTCTTGAGTATTGAAAGAAGTTCAGGTCACTTCTCTAGAAAGATCACAAAGATGTTGCCATCATATGTGAGAACAGTCCTTGTAATAGAGAAGATGATTTTGAGCAGAAAAACTATGTTGGCACCTATCCCTATTATTTCTCTGCACAAACTTCAATTCTACCTAGTCCTTGATTAATAAAAGAAATCTAAAAAACAAGAATAAGATGACTAAGGAAAAACTTAGAATTTATTTGTTAAAGTGATATAAGCCTAAATTCTAGAATAAATCTGTTTCAAAACTAGTGCACAAAGTCCAGAATCATGACTCAGAGAGTTTACTCTGAAGCACAGCACAGCCACATTTATCGAAACCAGAAACAACGCTTCACTGGGATTCCAAGCCAGGGACTTTGACAATGCTAGACAATCCGTGAAATTCACAAATTAAATAAACCCCCTCTTGGAGGACAAAACAGGATACTTCCAAACAGAAAGAGCAGATTTCAAACCCTGAATACAAAATGGTAAGAGAGTGGCAGAGAAGGGAAAGACAGCAGCAGCCTCTTGGGGTCTAATCAGAGTTGTCGTCACTCTCATCACTATATTGCTCCTTTTCTCCATCACTTGCTTCTTCTTCTTCACCATCCTAAGGAGCAAAGGACAAGTAAGTATTTTAGGCCATTGATCTAGGAGACTCAATGAATTGCAAAAAAGTTCCCACCGATATATACTATACTACTTCATTGTTGAAACCAATGATAGATTTTAAACTACTGCTATGGTTTGGATGTGAGGTGACCCCCAAATGCTCCTGTGTTAATGCAAGGATATTCAGAGGAGAGATGATTAGATTATGAGACCTGCTACCTAATTATTCTAATTTGAATCGACTGGCTGGGTGGTAACTGTAGGCAGATGGGGCAAGGAAAAGTGTCACAGGAGGTGTGAGTGAAGGGAGGGTTCATCTTCCCTGTGGCCCCTTCCTCACCTGCTGTCTCTGCTTCCTGGCTGCCACAGTGGAGCAGTGCTCCTCCACCTCACCCTTCTGCCAAGATGCACTGCCTCATCTTAGGCCCAGAGAAATGGACTTGGCTGTCTATGGACTGAGTCCTCTGAAACTGTGAGCCTCAAACTTTTCCTCCTCTTAAGTTGTTCTTGGATATATGTTGGTCACAGCGATGAAAAGCTGAATAATACCTTCTTTGTAAAATGAACCAGAGGCTCTTCTCATTTTTACTGAAGTACTGGGGATCAAACTTAGGGCCTCACACATGCTAAGCAAGTACTCTACCACTGAACTATATCCCCAGCCCTTCTTATTTTTGTGAGACAGTCTCCCTAAGTCACCCAGGCTAGTCTGGAACTTGAAATCTTCTGCCCTTAGCCTCCTGAGTAGCTGGAATTATAGGCATTCAACACCATCTTAATTCTTGAGCTCTAAGCCAAGACCATGGATGGAGATCATTTTGATACTGACTCATCCCATACTGCAAGCAAACCAAATTTTCATGATTTTTAAAATTGGCCATAGCTCTCCAGCTCTTCTACATGGATGTGACATAAACAAAATCACCATATGCTTCAATAGAAAATGAAATAGATATTAAAAGTACTGGCATATTCAACAGGGAATACACATAAAATTGCTTCGCAAATCTAGTATGGTAGGTTTGTTTAGGATAAAATACAAAGCTAACAGGTGCAGGAGGCATGTTATACATTAAAACAGAGAACCATGCAAATAATTTTTCATACTAAACGGCCTTTATTTAGGCCACACAGCAGGAATTCTTGTATCTGAACTTCTTGATGTCCATGACCCACTTGAATTATAGCAAAATTTTATAAATATGCAAATTTTTATTTAGCTTTCTTTAAATTAACAAAAGCATTGAAAAAAAAAAAAAAAGGAGTTCTGTTATTTTATTTCTATGTGGTAGCAACTTCTGACTCTAGGTTTTGGCTTCCATCAAATGCTTTCTTTGGTGATTTTTTTTGGACAGGGGGGAACCAAAAATTGAACTCAGGCACACTTGACCACTGAGCCACATCCCCAGTCTTTTTTTGTGTGTGTATTTTAGAGACAGGGTTTCATTGAGTTGCTTAGCAACTCTTTTTTGCTAAGGTTAGCTTTGAATTCATGATCCTCCTGCGTCAGCCTCCTGAGCCATCTAGATTACAGGTGTGGGCCACCAAGCTGGCTTGCCTATTTTTGTCTATTCAAACATGTTTAAGTGGCTTAGCTCATCTTCTCAGAACTTAGAAAATATATTAAACTCTTCTTTTCTTCCTTCTAAAATAGTTTCATACATGAGTTTGTAGAAAACAGTACAATACACAATGGAAGGGAAAATTTTTTTTCTTTGTTTTTAGTGTTGGGGATTGAATCCAGGGACTTGTGCATGCTAAGCACAGGCGTTACTAGTGAGCCACAGCCCAAGTCACTTGGAAGGCAATTTTCAACTCCATAACACATGCCACAGCTTGAGATACTCAAATGATTCTAAAATTGTGGAACTCTTTTTTTTTTTCTGGGCCCCAAAGAATTCATAAGTAAAGAAATAGTATTATATCATCAAATATAAGCAGGGAAAGGTCTGCATTCTACCAATTCACAACAGTTAACATGAAACCATCAATGCCAGACTCTGGTGCCCTTTCGATACCTCTGTTGCTTTCCTCTTAGTGAGCTGGGATGACGTGCCACCCTCACTCTCATCTGCTGTGCTCTCCTGGGAATTCTGGGATATAATCTCTTCACCCTAAATATGGAAGGACAGAGACAAATGGTGGGTTATAATGATTACATTAGGGTTCGTACGAGGAGAAAGGCTGAGCAATACAAAGAAAGATGTTCTAAGTCATTCAAAACACTAACACCAACTTGTGTTACAGCATCTAGGGAAGGAATGCTCAACCCCAGGTTTCTGGGATGCCTGTGGCTCTGATATAATATGTATTTCTACAAAAAAGAATTTATCTTTGTATTCTAGTATCACAGTAGATTTACAAGGTAAGAATGTATTAGTGACTTTTGGTTATCGTTGAATACAGATCTAGTTTCCCCAGTATTTTTTTTTTTTAAATATTTGGTTTTTGGTTTTAGGTGGACACAACATCTTTATTTTTATGTGGTGCTGAGGATCAAACCCAGTGCCTCACGCATGCTAGGCAAGCGCTCTACCTCTGAGCCACAACCCCAGCCGTCCCCGGTATCTTAAAGTAAATAAGTTCCAACACAGGAACCACAAACAGCTATGAAGAGGCTGAAGAACAGTCAAGTGGTTGAAGAACATCAACTCTGGATCAGAACTGTTTGGACTCAAGCTCTGGCTCCACTCACTTGCTGCTGACAGGCCTTACATAAGTTACTTCTCTGAGTTTCAATTTTCTCAAATAGAATCAATCTCATACAGCTGAGGTGAGGAAAAGAAGCTAATTCTCGGGTCTATTTTCATATATAACCAATTATAAAACTATGATATTGTCAGCATGAAAAAAAAAAGGGCTTAGATCCTTTATGAAAAATGCTGTAAGCAATACTATGATCAACACAAGATTTCATTCAGTCAGACAACTGTAAGACCCTAGAAATGTTCATTTGTTAACGTTAGCCAAAATGATTTCGTGAAAAATACAGACTAGGGCTTAAAACTGCCTTGGAGAGGATTGCACCAATCTGGCTCTATTTCTGAGACCTGTTCACACCAATGGCACCTTTGCTGCCTGTCTCTAGTACAGCCTGTGACTAGAGACCACAGCAATGTACCCTAGCTTTAAAAACTAAACAACCAGACTTCAAAGCAGTCTCATTGGCAAAACAGGGCTTAAGTGACCTTCCTTACATTCCTTCTGATGTTCTGTCAAGGAATGGGAATGAGGTATTAGCACTGGTGGTCCAAAGGCTTACCTGCAAGTCCCGGTTTTTGAGATTGCCCAGCCAGAAAGCCTCTCTGCAATTGTTGAGGACCAGCATTGCTTTGACTCTGCAAACTAAGAGCTCCAGGGTCTTTTTGAGTAAAGGCACATGTTTGGTGAGTCTCATGTCCTGGTGAATCTGAATGAAAATACATACATACATCTCATCTGAGCTTATCGTCAAGCATAAATCTGTACACTGAATGACAGCATAGCCCTGTCAATTTGAGACAGGGTCTCACTAAGTTGTTGAAGCCCGACTTGAACTTGTAATCCTCCTGTCTCAGCCTCCTGAGTTGCTGGGGTAACAATCATGAGTCACCTCACCTGGCACCAAAAATATTCTTGAGCCAATATTACATGGATATTAAAAAAAAAAAAAAAAAATCTCTGCTTAGCACAGAGTCCTTAAAATTCCATTGCTCAGAACTTTTCAACTTAAAACCAGGAGAGGAAATAAGTAATAGGAACTGGCTCAAAGAATCATTTGGTTTTCCAGTGACTATAGAACCCTAGGATTCCGTGTTCCTTCAGAAAAAAAAGGTGACAATGGTTTATCAACTCTAAGAGGGTTTCA